ATGAGTGCTGGTTTTAAGGGAAGGTCAGATAGGAGAGACAAATCTAGGTTCTCTGGCAGGGAGAGGAAAAGTTATCTCCTACAGCTGAGCTCTGCCAAAACTGTTCAGTCACTAGAGGAGAAACAGAGAGAGAGACTGAGAGGATTAGGGATTACGTCTCCAATTGACATTCCTTGATGTCAGCAAAACCATTAACCCCACAAACAGTGGCTCTGCTCTTGGAGGAGAATGCAGAATCAGTCAGTGTTGCTGCACCGACTTCTGCACGACATCATGAGTGACAAGAAAGTCACAGCTCTACGCAAACAGTTTCCATGCTTTAATCCAATGGAAATCATACATTAGAGAGAGAGAGAGAGAAAAGTACCTTATCCCAGAGGGAAATTCAGTTGTCACAGCAGCAATGCACTTGAGAGACACATGAGTGGCTGTCGGACTTGAAATCCTACTCCCAGGAGTGAAAATGTGCTTCTAGTTAAGCAGGATTCTTAGACAATAAAAATATCATCAAACAAAATCAAATCTAACAATCTAGCTACAAAGATAGAGGTCCCAAGCACAATTCCCAGGATTGGCAGATTTTTCTTCTGATGTGAAAAGTTCACATTTGTCTCACGTGTAAGCACATACTAGGAATCGGAGGTCTTTGGTTCACTAGGTCACGGCTGGGAGGTTATGCAAGCAGAGCAGAGAAACTGGCCTCACTGAACCGGAGGGGGGGGGGGGGGGGGGGGGAGAGAGAGAGAGAGAGAGAGAGAGAGAGAGAGAGAGAGAGAGAGAGAGAGAGAGAGAGAGAGAGAGAGAGAGAGAGAGAGAGAGAGAGAGAGAGAGAGAGAGAGAGAGACTATGCTGCTGCTGGCAGGCATGGAAGGCAGCCCAGAGGGTCAAGAGGTAAACACAGCAGTGGTGCACACATATACTGCAAAACTGGCACACAGACACCTCACATGAAAACAAATCCGGGGGGGGTGTCACAGTCCTGGAAATGAGTCTTATGTAACAGACACATTTCCAGGAGTATATGTGCACACAGTTATTAATTTACTCCCTAATCTATTCTTATCTCATCTATGTCAATGTGTATGCTGTGCGTGTGTGGGTGTGTGCATGTATGTGTGTATTTGTACCTCACTGAGAAACGCTCAAATGACAATAACTGACAATTCCTGATATCTAATGTTGAATATTTTAAAGATGAATGCTTGCTCAGAAATGTAAATATCAGAGAGCAACCTGTGCAGTTTATGTCCATGACAGTAATCATTCCTGAAAAACTGTGCTATTTACTGAAATTGGGGGATATCTCAATTTGAAATGAAACCCTTGGATGACTTGGAAAACCTGGAGCAGGCCAACAGCGAGTACTTTTATCTAAATATATTCTACCATTTCATTCTGCTTCTCTCAGTGCTGCCCCCACCCTGCCAACAACCGCACTACACCCTCCAGGTTACCAGAGGCAGACAGAGCCAGAGGCAGACTGTCTGGCTACTACCCAAATGGCTTTCTCCATGGATATAAACAGCCCAACTACAGGCCTGGACCACACATAAACACCATTCTGAGAACACAGGCAAGGAGTGAGCACTCAGTTATGTGTGCGAGTGCGTCTGTGTTTGCAGGAGAAAGATGAGCAGTGAGATAAATACAGAATACAGGCCCTAGACAGTGTGGGTGGTGAGCATACATGGTGTGCATCCTTCTATACAGTAGACAGAAATCGTGTTTTTCACTTCTCTGTCCGGTTACTCCCACGTTGCATCAGAATAATCGGGCACCCCTGCTCCCCCCCGGAGGAATTAAAAATAACTTTGTTGTCGGATACAGCAACAACACCACCACCACAAGCAGCCAGCCAATTCATTATCGTGGAGAAAAAGAATCCCAACAGAATAAGATGTTGTCAGTTACGAGCTCTGATTGGATTCAAAAGGTAACATGAGTAACATGCAGAATGATTGAAATCACAACTAAGTTTTCCAAGTACAGACTGACACAAGATCCCTGCTTTCACAACATTGTTTCTATTCCCCCCCACTTTGCCGCTTCAAACCCTTCATGTTTTAACTGCTTTTATGTGGCTGTCAGAATGAGTGATGGATAGAAGCCTTTTGGGTGGATGTGTAATGTTTACCAGATAAGAACAGCAAACACTGCAGTGGGTGTGTGTGTGTGGGGGGGGGGGGGGGGGGGGGTGTATGGATGTGTGTTTACACACTGAACGTTTGACCTGGGACGAATCCAGAAATCACCACTGATGTGGTTTTAGGTAGAAAAGACACCAGATGTCCCCTTATAACTTAAAAAATAAGTCAAAATCAAATTGAAAAGAAAAAATTAGGGAGATAGTGGATATGCAATTTCCATTATAGAGAGATCCTGTCAGAGGCATTTTGGTAGCAGACTTGAAGCAGCCTAATGTGTGTGGTGGTCAGACCACCAGTGAGACTTGTATCTGAATCTTAAAGGGGATTGGGGTTTTCAGACAATATCAAAGACTTGACTCCCTTTGAAAAGATTAACACGGTTGTCCTTGTGGGCTGTTTCTCGTCATATACCCTGGATGCCGCATGTGCGCAGATATACACACACGATGGCAGGGCACAAAGGAGATGAGCAGAACAGGCAACATCAGTGGTGAGCATGGATTTGCCCTCGCGCACACGCTTGAACACACACCCACAACCTCAAGGGCTCTGCTGACATTCTCCCATGTCCCTCTCTTGGTAAGGGTCCCTGCATATGGGTCATATGAGAGGCCAAGGGGAAAAACAGTAGAAGAAGCCCGACACAGGAAAATGTCATCCTTGCTGCATGGATGCCACACACACACACACACACACACACACACACACACACACAGCTAAACTGGGTCTATAAATACAGCGGTAAAGCAGGGAGCGGCAGAGTGGAAAAAGCCCAGTGGAAAACCATTCAATCGTTAGCTTAGCAGGCTAGCTCTAAAATTAGCCTTAGTAGTGCGGTAGTGCACAGCAGACCTTGCGCGCACACACACATACAGACTAGAAATGAGCTTGCAAAGCACCATTCTTAACCTTAATTACAAAAAGGAAGAAAGCAGCAAAAATGAGTCAGGACCAGCCACCTCCACCTCATTAGTCTACTACTCCACATGTAAGGGTGGGGTTAGCTTAGCACCCAGAGCTCAGAATAATCTCAACTTCAAAGTATATAGGACATTATATCATTAGCCTATGTACCATCCTGGCCTATATATGCAAATCAAAGCCCCTCTTACCGGAAAGCTTCAGTCAGTTTTAGCAACCTCCAATTATACATTCTTGAATGAGCCCTGTAAGGTTAAAATGACATCCCATAATGGGAGTAATCTCATCGGAATAGCAATGTATAGCCATCACATCCCAACAGACTTGAATCTAAATGTGCCTCTCCTGAGTCTTTAGCCTACTTTGTGAGATGGGCAGAGGTTAATAATAATGATAACTGTAAATTAATCTAAAGTGATTCGGTTCTGTCTTCAAAATGACTTAATTCTAGTTGTGAGCACATGGTGGGTGGAATATTTGACAAAGGTTAAACGATAGCGAGAAGCCACGGCCAAGGTTATTTAAGAAGATGGACCTTAACTTTTTAATTGCATCACTCCCTCTCCTGAAGAAAATGGATTATTTAAGACAGACATGAAAGTAAGGTAAAGCGTATGATTTATTGAAGTGTATAAGGGTCATTGTACTTCCTTACATCTCATGTACACCACTGTACCCTCACTGTTTCTTACTGACTGAAGAGCAGTTTTGCAGCCATTTTTTATGGATGTTTTATAAATTTTGAATCTTAAATATAAGTTTTCTGCATGCTCAGATTTAGAAATTACAGTGTTTTGAGGTGCTGAAACGTGGGTCTTTGTCTTGTTAAATTATGTAGAACTTTCTGTAGCAGAAACTTGCAGTGACCTGGCAGTGTACTCTCCTTCTCTGTTGGCCAGTGGAGCATAGCTCAAAAGTAACATGAATCCCTAACTAACTCTGGAGGAAAATAGAAGTTCTTGAGTTAGTGTGAGTGTCATTAGTTAACTTGGTTTACTGTATACAGGCTTTATATGCGTTTGTGATAGTGTCTTTGTGCCTCCATTTGACCCATATTGTTTTCCCTGTTAAGACATTCCCAGTAAACAATGCCGCTTTGTCTGGCATGGCAGAGCTGCATGCACACACACAAACTCTAACTCTGCTGCTAATTACTCTGCCTTGGCTTTAACAGTTCATTTGACATCGAAGGTGCTACATAGTGTCAATGAACCTGTGTAGTGTTTGTACTTTAGGGTGTGTGTCTGTGTGAGTACTATATGCACAAGCAGCTGTTGTGGTGGAAGGTGATGGGCAGGGTGTTAAAGAGACAGATCGTTGTTGAAAGGTAGGAGGGGGAGATGTGTAAGCTGATGAAATGCAGGATAATCTTAGCCTTGGGCGAGTACACAGTTATTTGCAGCATGTGTGTGGTTTTGTGTGTGTGTGTGTATTGAGTGAGTGGGAGTGATCAAAACCTGATAAAATCTAATATATGTGCTCTTGAATTGCTTAAATATGCATCTTTATATGCACGTGTGAGGGTCTAAAATAAAAGATCAGAGCAAAGTGTTTAACTACAGCTCAGGTTTCCCTTTAGACCTTTATATGAGAGGAATACTGGGCTGCACATACTGTATGACAGGTCTTGGAAATGCTTGATCCTGATATTTAGCAGTTATTGTGTGTATTCATAAATTTGCTATTAGAAGCCTACATAGTGCAGGCCTATACAAAGACAGCTTAACAGTAGCAAAACATTGTCCAGACTCAGAGGTAATCTGTAGCTTGGCTTTCTAGCATAAACCTGTGTCCTGGACCCGTATAAAAATATTTTTCAAAAACTAATATTACAGGAAGTCATATCTGCAGCTTTCTTGTACACCCTCCACGTGTACCACTGGTTACCACATGTAATTATGTCTCCATCCACTCCGTTCTACTGTGTCTTACCTCTGAGGCAGAGGAAGGTGAGGAAGTCCTCCGTCTTGGGCTTGCGCCTGGACAGGTCCTGAATGGAAGAGGACAGAGATGAAGCGGAGAGCGATGAGAGGGATGAGGAGGGCACAGTGGCCAGGCCCGTGTTCAGGCTGCCTGGGTCTGCAACTTTGACAGGCGTAGTGCTGGGCGAGTTGGGCTGCGACTGGGCAAACTTCCTTTGGGCCTGGAGCCGAGGTCTGACAGGGAGAGCACAAGAAGGAAAGGAGAGAGTAAGTTACTGATATGTATTATTTAATTACAATTGAGCACACACGCATCTACTCCACAACAGCAGGCCACCACAACAAGGAGGCAGGCATGACTGTTTGAGATAGTAGGAAAGTTAATACATATATACACACACACACACACCTCAGCAAAAGACAAAGCTGATTTAAAGAAACACACTTTTGCTCTTTTACATAGATGCACAAACACACATGCACAGTCTCTCTATGGCTGTTATCTCTCTTTGTAGATAGGATTGCTAAAACAATTACCCTGTAGTGAAGAACTGATCACCTTTGTTCAGTGAGTGGGTGTCCATCCAGTCCATCATGATAACTTGGATGTGCTGACACCCACACACTTACAGGCTGTCATGGTCATTCAGTGAGTGTCATTTAATTTTTTTACATGAGTAAATTATACAGTGTGCGTAGTACCAGCCACACACACACAGTTCCTATTTTATTCCTGCTGAGAGTGAAAGATTATTAAAGCAGAACCAGTGGTGCCAAGTGATAATAACCAAATATACAGGAACTGCCTGTGAAAACAACCACACACTGCCAGAGATCAACTTAAGTTTCTTTCCATCTTTCTCGTTTATTTCTTTCTCACTTTCCACAATCTTCCTGCTTTTTTCCTTCCCTCCGCCTCTATTTTGAGCTTACTTTCTTATGTGGTGCACAGAACCTTTGAGATGTGTCTCTCATTTTTCCTCTCTGCTTGTATCTTTTCTCTCTTTATTTCACAGTGTGTGTCAGTGGGCGCGAGGGAAGAGGAGAATATTAAAGAAGTGGATATCTGAGAGAAGGCGATGGACTTGCTTGTCACACCGCCTCCCTCATACGCAACACACACACACACACACACACACACACACACACAAAGAGGCCACATGAACCAGCAAGTGGCCTCAATCGATTTGGGTGTGTATGTGTGTGCGAGAAAGTGCGCTATGCTAGAAATGTTGTGGAGTAGTGAAAGAAGCAATGTGATATCCTGGTATTATTTGTCAATTTGCCGCAGACCGGATTGAAGTAAGGGAAGATAGGATCATGTCTGGAGAACACCCACAATGCATTTGGTGCACTGAAAGGTGCTGAGTCCCGATTACACTTCAATCAGAGAACAGCACGGTGTCAAAACGTGTCAATTTCCTGCCATGAAATGGGTGTAAGCTCAATATGTGGGAAATTGAGAGATGATTGCACGCACATTGCTAAAGCGGCGCATTTGGACGTAAGGTGTGAGAAAACTGAACAAACGTTCGCACACGCCCAGTTTGTTTACAGTCGAACACTAAGTAAACAAAAGCCTATGACTGTCATTGGCAATCTATACGCTGGAATTCAATAGTACACAAGAGTGATTTACAGCATTTACACAAATATAATTTGGCTTTGTTTTAGAATTTCCAAAATGTCCATCATACTCGATTTAAAGCATTTTCTCCCTGCACACACAAAATGCAGACTTTTAGTCTGCAAACATATGTGGCAGTGAAGAGTTTAAATCACTAATTTCACTAAGGTCTTCTAGTGCTGCCTTACTTTAACCTTCAGTTAAAAGCTAGGTGCGTACAGGAGGTACTGTTTTCCCCTGGTATTACTGAACAAAGAACATGACTATTCAATACGCAAAACAACACAATGGGGACAGGTGTCGCTTCACACAAGGCTGTGATTTACTTGCAAAATAATGAGAAAAAAAGAGATAGCGAAGGAAGGTGGTACATGGGTGAAAGAACTGAGATACAATCAAAGAACGGAAGAGAGAAAGAAAGAACTGATAAGGGAGAAGCTGAGAAACTGTATCTGGTTGCCAACCTGTTTAAATGCAGGATATAGTAGTATAGGGTAGTTAATGAAAGAGAGAGAAAGGGTCATAGAATATGAATGGGCACGACAAAGAATGACAAGTATATGGAGATGGAAAAAGGAAGATCAGAAAAATGATCAAGAAGAGGAAGTGCAGTGAATGAACCGATGAAAGGAGAAAAAAAAACAAAAACAATCAAAGCCCATTCAAGGCCAGTTACAGCAAAAGAGTGTGATAAACAGCTGTGAGAGGTAAAGCACGATCCTGTGCTTCACACGTCCACATCATCTACTCTACACTTCCACATACACACACATGCAAAGACAGAAAATACATACACTTGCCTCATGAAACATTTACCTGCTCAGTCTGCACACACGCCAAAATAAAACTCCTCTTTAGTTGTGACCAATAGGGATGGAGACTGCAGGGCACATTGACAGAGGCAAGTATAAGTAAGGTAAGTAAAGGGACGAGGCCAAAGCCAGAGAGTGAGATGAAGTGATGGTAGAGTGGGCAGAAAGGGCCGGTGGGAGGGTGATGTGCAGAGGGAGGTTTGAAGGGGGGGAGGTTCGCATGACTGCAAGACTGGGTAATGTACAGTGTGAGATGATAAGATAAGTTGGGTAGAGGAAGGAAATGGAGAGACGAGACACACACAGTATACACTGAGATAAATGCAATCATAGTTGGGTATACTTAACCACAAATACGCGACTACATCCATTTTGGAATTTCAACATAGTGCATGCTGTACAGACAGACACATATACATATATAGGACTATCTTGCACATAAGCAGAGACCTAACGCAGCATTCAAGTTAAAAGTATAACTGAAAATTACAATAAAAAGGTTGACACAACTTCAAACCAAGTGCAGGGATATTATATTGTAGTTACAAGTTACTGTACTGTAACAAGGTGTAACTAGGATTTAAACTTTCAATTCAACTTTTTTATTATTGTGTGGTCAGTGTATTTTTGTAAAATTTCAGAACAGTTCTTTGTTTTTAGTACAAAGCTATAAACAAAAAGATTGCCAAGACTTCACGGCCTGTTCGCTGTAAAGTCTGTTACCCAACACGCCTGGCCAAATACAGAGCCAGGAAGCTTTTCTATATCTTGTTTTATATATTGGCACAGCCTATAATTGACAGCACTTCTGATTCTAATTGATATACTGGTTCAAGTGCATTCTCCGTTGTTCATCCATGGTCTTTCCTTTCTAATATCCTTTTCATATATTTCACATAACATCCTCCTTTTTTCCTACCCTATCTATTGATTCTTTTGCCCACCCCTCTCTGCAAAGCTTGCAGTGTCAGTGTGAATGTACTGCATGAGTACACGCATGCTTGTACACTTTAATGGGCCTTTAAGGGACAACTGTTTGTTATACCCACTTGTTATCACACTCTCCTCACACCTTCATATCAATAGTAATTTTATATCAATAACATTTCTTAATGCGCGCAATGCTTTCACACAGACACGACCATGGCCGTGTGTGAACACTTGTATGCTGTGAAGCTGCCGCTGTGCTAATCCACTGTCACCCAAACCTGTCCCGACATCTTATAAATTCAATCGCCTGCTATCTAATATCGCAGAGGAGGGAGCAACTCAGACTAAGCTGTGCTATGAACACTTTCTAAATAGTAAGCGGAGAAGCAATTGAGCTCTCCACAAAAGCCTATTTGGTAAGCTAAACCCTGGATAGGTTCATAACTTAACCCTTCGATGAATAGGATCCTATTCAACTGTTTAGAAAGTGGGAGAGGGGGAATAACTGACACACAGGCAGCATGACAACAGAAATGAAGCACGAGCAACTGTGCCAAAGAATGGGGACAGAGAAAGACGAGCTAATAAAGCAATGTGCTTACTACATCCTGTCTAGACAGTCAACCAGTGCCTGTTTAGACAAGCCTCAGGTTTTCCTGGGACGATCCTCAGTTATCTGTTACCCATTAACTAACATGGGAGCAATGCTGGGGGTGCGGGGGCGACCAAATCTCTACTAACTGCACAAAGGTCTCTGTAATTTACATTTCTCTAAGCATTATCAACTGCTGCTTCTTTCTATATTGCTAGAGTGAAAGCAAAGACATTGCTAATAAAAAGGTAATAAAAACTGATGCAAAAACAGTAACAATTATTTGTATTGACAGAAGGTTTTCTTTTCGGAAATAGTGTTCAGGTGGCAAAACAGAAGTACCGTTATTATCACTGATTTAGAGTATGAAAAACTATTTATACTAACATCTAAGAAATTCATCCAGAGTCCTCTGAAATTAACACAAACACACACACACACACACGAGTACCAAGGACCAGGTAAATATTGAGAAATCAGCATGGGAACAATTTGCAATGACATGAGTGTTTTTGTAAGTGCTGCCACGGCACAACGGCTGAGTGGTAACACAAGCCTCTGATTTAGCCCTCCGTCTGCCCAGAGGGCTGTCTGTGTGTGCAAGCCAGGGTACACTATGTTCCCGATGCGTCTTGAACTATAGGATACTCATTGGTATGGTGCAATGGTACATAAGTGAGGCTTTAAGTAAGTTAAAAATTAGACTGATTAACCTGATTGAAGGAGAGTGAGAGGAGAGCTGGAGAGATGCGGGGAAATGAAAAGAGGAAACAGAGATCCAATAGCAGGAGAAAAAGCAAAAGAGATTACAGCAGGATGTTCCCATTCATCCCTTTCTAATCCACCTTTCATCCATCCCTTCCTCCCTCCATCCCTTCCTGCTACCCCCAAGCCATTCACCCTTCAAAGGGCTGCTCTAATGTCTAATATTACACATACCACCGTAGCTGCTAGAGCAGTGATTATCTATGAGGGAGACGGAGTGAGAAAACTTGACGATAGCGTCAGCTAGAAATCCTGGGAAAGACTACGTGTCAGACGAAGAAGAAAGGGAGAGGATAAATGGCCATTTGTGATTTCCCTCTAAAACATAAAATTAAGTTAGATTAAAAAATAGGAAGGAGGTAGTGATGAAGGGACAGAGGGACTTGGACAAAGAGAAAGATCAGCTAGTTTAACGTACTTTACCACTGTGGTCTGGCTTTCTGGTCTCACTGTTCACGTAGCACAGCTGTGACAGTTGACACACATCCCACACATGCACATGGACCCT